ATGCTGGCGCCGTCGGTTCTTTGGGCCGACTTGCAGTCCTTATTTCCTACATGAAGCCTTGAGTGTTAAAAGTAGAATAGGCGCCCAGGGCGGTATTAGCGGATGATTGAGTTCCGGGTGGTCGATTGTGGTTGCTGAAATAGCCTTGCTTTCTCCCTCCAGCTTGTGGCCCGGCTGGTTGTTGTTTAGCCTGATCTTGAGATAAGCGAACATCGGCATTGTTAGCTATGGTCGGACCAAAGCTGCGACCCGAGGGGCTAATCGGTGTCATGTGATGAGAGGTTTGCTGCAAGCCGTGTTGGTTATAGTGGTAGTTCTGTGCCGCCGCATTTATACGCTGAGACGCAAATGGATGGTTGGTTTGCTGTCTTGGTATGGCATGACTTAGGTTTGGCGACTCTAGCTGTTGCTGTTGTGGAGAGGTCGTTATGTAGAACTGTCCAAGCCGTGATGTCTGGGTAGCATGTGGCCCCAGTCCCATTCCTTCAACTCCAGAGCCATTGCCTTGGGTCTGAGAGTCGAAATTGCCTGACAGGAATCCAGGCTGCGATCCGGAACCAATGTTTGGAACGCTTCCGTTTGAAACGCGTTGACGCTTCGTCCCCTGGGGCGCCTGAGACGAAGGAGCAACTTGATTGTTGCTTCCTAGAACATCCAACTGACTTTGCTGTGTGACATGTCTCTTTCTTGGCGAGCTGTTGCTTGTGCTGACGTCGATGGGTTGTTGGATTGACATGTTCGGCTGATTGGGACTCGACTCTGCATGATGTCGGCCTAGGTTGTCTCCTGCAAACTGTGATTGCGCCGAATAGTCATTGTTAGATATGATATTCTCGGAATTTGCAGTGCCAGATGGAGGGGTAGGAGTTGTTTGCGTCTGTGCAGGTGTTGGGTCGTGGGTACGCGGCGCCGTCTGATTCTCATCATTGATGTTGGTCTTTGGTCGGTTTTTGGAACCCTTTGGTCGACCCCTCTTTTTAGCCACCGGAGTGCTCTTGGGAGCATTCGATTGTGTATTAGGATCATCAGGGAGTACGGGCGTCGCGGCGTCGTCGCTTGTTACTGGAACATCCGCCTCCATATTGTCACCTTCAGCTACACTCTCATTTTCAGCCACAGCGGGTATGACAAGTGGCACGCTGTATTTGAGTGCCTTCGACATGTGCCTTTTGCCTTTATCTGCGCGGACCTTGGAGCTCTTACTCCCCTTGGGCCTGCCTCTTTTCCTCTTTCCTGGAACAATTGCGCCTTCTTTTGTCGGCGAGGAATCCGCTTGTACTGTAGGGGCAACGGACACCGTAGTAGCGGACTTTGAAGCCGGGGAAGACACGGACATCCAAGTAGAGGCAGTCGTCGCTGGATGGTTCCCTGGCGGAGATGTGTCGGGTACGCTGGGGTGAGGAGCTGTTGAGGCATCTACGTTTGGAAATATTTCGGCAAGCCAGCCAACGAAGTAATGACCAGAACCATTTGCGGCGTTACTCTGCGGGAAGGCACTATCATCTGCCGGAGGAGGAGCCCCAGGTATGCCTCCAAAATATGCGAGTCCTCTGCAAAGCTGGTCGACAACCATGACAGGGTTCAACGACCTCAGCAGAGTCAAAAGTCGAGCCTGCTCCGTCTTTGTCTCATGGGACGATAGTGACGTCGTTCTCTGGGCAAATCCATGGCCAGGTTGTGGCTTGCCTCTGGTCTTCTCCTTGCGTGCAGTATTCGGTACCAACTCCTGCTGTTGCGATTCTACAGCTGGGCCGTTCTGCTTTAATTGCCGTAGTGACTTGTAACCGGCTTGGTTGAACAACCTGGAAGCAGCTGCAGTGCCCTCACTCGTTCGTCTCGCTGCGGCAAGCCGTTCGGCGGAAGCAAGATTCGTTACTCCCATGTGCATGACGGCAAAGTTGCCATTTTTACCGTGGTCAACATTCTGCAGTTTGGCAGGGACACCGTTTTTGACGCGGCCATCATAGTACGCATAACTTCCAGAGGTATACGGAATGTCTGTTGGCAAAGCGTTAGTGTGTGTTGCAGCGTACTGGGCGGGAAGAAACATGTAATAAGCCTGACCATCGTTCAAGGGCTCTGCAGCCGTCGATGTATCCGAAGGCAGTATAATGGATGAGCCGCCATTCGCACCGACTACTATGTCAACAGGTTGAGCTTCGTAGCCTCGATGAGCCGATGTACCATCCGTGGATAGATTATTTGCAGCTGTGATTGGTGGGTTAGCTCCTGAAGCAGGAGGACAACAAGGTGTCGTCGAATTTTGAGATTGTCACTGTAGCGATGAGGAGACGCACCCGCGACCGGCGACATTGTTGCAACCTGGAAGAAACCGTCAAGTTGTCAATGGCCAGATGTCGCAACTACATGCCTTACACCTTGCCGACGGACAGAGCCGTTGGTCTGAAATTTCGGCGCGACGTTCTCGGGCTCACATGGTACAGAGACGGGGCGTCAAAGACGACAGCGGAGATTGCTTGGCAACAGAGACAAGGGAAGCGCAGTGCGAGAGTGTGCGAAGGATGAAGCCGTGGGCGGACAGTAGATGGGACATTGGTGGCTTGTTGTCGGTTGGATGCGCATTGAAGAGAAGACGAAAGGACGGCTCTAGGCGGCGTTGGGTGCATCGACTCGAAGCACGGACGACGGGAATATTGACTGTAATATACAGCGCACAAAGCACGGAGTACCAGACCATTGAGAGACTTCGAGGGGACCAGTTGCCATCACCAGGCACTACATTGAATGAGTCCAGACCAGTCCCAGGTCGCTCCAGGCGAGCCCCAGGGGCTTTGCCAGCCACATAACCTGTAGTGAGCGTGTCTGCTGGAGTACATATAAGCACATGTGTGATCCATTGGCGTCTGACTACAGGCCCTGCCGGCGGGGTATGCTACTCGACTCCATGACTGGAACTACTACTCCTTGGCAACTCAGCGGCTGCATGTGGTTACATGTACGGACCACTGCTTACGGCCCTTCTTTCCCCACTCTCCAGACCCAGCGAACGACATCACATAATACCAACCTTAGTGCCTAGGTAAGTACCTAGGAGCTTCGTCTCAACCACCGTGCAGTACCAGCGTCTCTCGCATCAAAAACTCCCCCACGAGACGGCCGCTCTTCAGAACCCTCCGAGCCCTCTGCGCCGAGCCGTGTATCATCCCCTCTGGGGCCCTCGATATTATATCTCTGCGTCCGTACCTCTCCTCCAGCGGTCGGTCGGTCAAAATACCGTCATTATGCCTTCACGCTATGCCGTTGTGTCCCTGCCCCTCGGCGTCTTCGACTCTAGCAGTAAAGCCGATGCCATCTCGTCTCTAAGCGCCTCCATTTCGCCAGACAATGGCTCTGTCAACTCCTTCAACATCCCCGATTTCAAGATTGGCACCCTTGACGCCCTAGTTCAGCAAGCCGATGATCTAGCCAAGCTCGAGACGACATGTCAATCCGTCGTCACCAAAGTCGGCGAGTCGCTCCGATCTGTCCTAGACAATGATGAAGAGCGCCTAGCTTCTTACAAAATGGTCAATGACAGTTAGTTAAGTCGATCCTACAGAGTTGCCGTGCGGTTGGACTATCTGCCATCAAAATTTCGTCAGAGGCTGACAGCACATGGTTTCAATAGAGCCGACGGAACAGTATCTCCGTAGCTTCACTTGGAATAAGATTCGATATCGAAGCGATAAGTCGTTGGGTGAACTGATAGACACCCTTCAGAAGGTATCATCATCTGTTATGTTGAGAAACAAGACAATTTGGCTGAATTGTCCTTCCCACAGGAACTGGTAACGGTGGACAATGACGTCAAAACCAAGTTTAGCCAGTACAACACTGTCAAATCGAACCTTGCTGCTTTGCAGCGGCGCCAGACGTGAGACATACCCATGAGCGTCACCTGCTCACAATCTTCAAAGCCGAGTATTCTGACTGAAGTTTGGATTTGCAGAGGAAATCTCGCAACCAAGTCATTGACTCCCATCGTTAACCCGAAGCTCCTCATTAAAGATTCCGAATACATTGAAACACATCTTATCGCCGTGCCAACCAACTCCAAGAAGGAATTCGTCAAAACCTATGAGACGCTATCTCCTATGGTCGTGCCCCGATCTTCTGTAGAAGTTGATCACGACGACGAGTTCACTCTTTTCGCAGTCGCCACTTTCAAGAAGTATAGCGCAGAATTTATTCACAAATGTCGAGAGCAAAAGTGGACTCCACGTCAATATACCTATGTAGAAGGTGGGCGAGAGGAGGAGCAGCGTGAGTTGGACCGGGTAACCAATGAGGAGCGCAAGGTTTGTGGTGAGGCTCTTCGCATCGGGCGAACAGGGTGGAGCGAAAGTGTCATGGTCTGGATTCACGTCTTAACATTGAGAGTCTTTGTTGAGGCCGTATTGCGATACGGTTTGCCGCTTGACTATGTGACTGCATTGGTGAAGGTATGGTATCCCCTCAGGGTTTCAAAGACCCAGACAACACATGGCCGCAGAGGTATTGAAGCTGACTGACCCTCCATAGACCACTCCCAAGCTGGCACCCAAGGTTAAGGCAGCGCTTGACTCTAAGTACTCATACCTGGGAGGCAATGCCTTTGGCCGCGACAAGCGCGGTAGGGTCACCAAAGATGACGCAGCCATGTCCTCGGAGATGGCGGCGGCAGGTCTTGGAACTGGTGAAGGACACGAGTATACAGCCTACGTTTATTATGAGTTGGAATTCCCGTGATAGGACACGCTTAGTTTTGCAACCCATTTTTTTTAGAGAGAGGTGATGACGGTGTAGCCACAAAGGAAGAGTGATTAACCCGCATAGATTCATTTTGGGCGCTTGTATTCTAGCTATCTTCATGATCTGTGAAGCACGCTTGGCCATGCCTGGCAAAAAGACATCATGACCAAATATAGGACAGTGGTCTATCTATCGCATTCATGCTTTACGTTTGTTCTTGTTCTTTTATTATCCATTTCCCCTTTCGCTTCATGCTGCAAAACGACCACCTAGTTTAACGTAAGGTATCCCTTTTCCAGAAGCCAGTTGACGATTTGGGCGACGCACTCCTCAAGCGAGTTTTCGTGCGTCTTGATAGTGATTTCAGGGTTGATGGGCTCCTCATAAGGGGCCGAGATGCCAGTGAACTCCTTGATCTCGCCAGCGCGAGCCTTCTTGTACAGACCCTTGGGGTCACGCTGCTCAGCGACCTCGAGAGGAACGTCGACGAATACCTCGACAAAAGGGATCGGCTCGTCTTTGACATCCTGCGAAGCGGCGTGTAGCTGGCGGGCGACATCACGGTCTGCTCGGTACGGGGAAATAAAGGACGTAATGGCAATAGTGGACGAGTCGGCAAAAAGCTTGGCGACCTATTCTCCTCTGGTCAGCACAAGCCCGCTCCATGGCCTGGTGGTTCTCGATAAAAGGCGCCCTCCCCCCGTGGGACTCACCTCTGAGATACGGCGGATGTTCTCATTGCGGTCCTTCTCGGAGAAGCCCAGGTCCTTGTTGAGGCCGAAGCGGACATTGTCCCCGTCCAGGCGGTAGGCGGCGCGGCCGAGGTGCAGGAGGTGCTGCTCGAGAGCGGTGGCAACGGTGGACTTGCCCGAGGCTGAGAGGCCGGTGAGCCAGATGGTGAGGCCGCGCTGGCCACGGAGCTCGTTGCGCTCTTTGCGCGAGAGGGACGGGTGCCACGTGATGTTGCTGGTGTCGTTAGCATACGCTTGATGCGTCAATGGTTGCGATTTTGCTTTTTTGTAAGAGGGGGGGGTTGTTTGCTGTTCGCATCGTCATGATGGTGACTCGGTGACAGTCTGGTTGGCGGGTTGGTTGTGATGGAGGGGTTTATCGCATTGCGCCTGCACATACGTAGCCATTTTGTATGGTGTCTGGGACAGACTGCTTGTGAAAAGGGGAGATTAAGGTAATTGAGACGGGAGAAGAGCTTAGAAGGATCAAACACGAAGCTGGATAGCAAGTAGACGTTTAAATCGGGTTGCAGCACGAGCATTTGAAATACATGCGGCCTGGGAGCCTGCCTAGTCTACTGAGTCCACTTATTCATCCTGCCGCTAACAGAATACTCAGTTTTTCTTGCTCTTGGTCTGGTAGTCCGTCCCTGAGGTGTTGCGCGTGGTTTTTTCTGGCCCCCCCCCCTTCTTCCCGCGCTCGTGGTGTCGCCATCGCCAGGTCCAAATGGATGGACGAGTAAGAATGCGCCGTGATGGCGACAGTCCGGGGCGGGATGGGTTGCGACAGTCCGAAGGGGACACGGAGGATCCACTTGGCTTGTGGTGCGGGTATCTGGAGATGCGTTTTTCTGGAGACGCGATGCATTGTACATACATACATGGCTTAATCGCTATCCACTCCGTTGAAGGGCATGGCTGTGTTTCGTTGCGAATTGTGGGAGCGATGACTACGCTGCCCGTGATCGGTGGTGGTGTTTTGGGACACGCATGTGGTGTTGGTTTATTTATGCTGCCTTCATACTGCTGCTAAAATGTCTATTTTTGCGCGGGCACTTCTGGAACTGTTTTTCCTAGGCAGGCGATGTCGCCATCTCTGTAATCTTGGGGGCTGATGACAATTCGTTCATCTCCGGCGCCGTTCGCTCGGCCTGAGACCTTCTTCTTGCCGGTCCCGAGCCATCACGCCATCAAAGATTGTTCGGGCACGAATGCCGACTGGATATTGCCGAAAAATTGTTATTTACCTGGCAGCTGGCGCCGCGAAAGAAGATGCTTGAAAAGAAGATGGCGTCGGTCTGTATATCCAAAAGGGGCATTATCTGGGCAAACATCTATTTCACCAGATTCTCAGCTCTATCAAGTCTATTACTTCTATATGTATCTACATTGCTAGAATGATGCGTCAAATGACACAACCACCGTCATACATAGCCATGCTGTATAAGTAAATCGTATGCTATTCCTGCACGCGCAAGGCAACTCTGTCTAATTAGCCAATCCATCCACATCTCTATCGTCTAGGCATGCGCTTAATTAATCTTCGGCATCATCTGTATCCGCGAATTAGGAACATCAACTTTTTAAACATGTCTGGCATGCCGAGCCGGGTTCCACTTACCGCTGCAAACTTGGGAGATACAAACAAGGCTGTTGCATCAGCATACACCGTAGGCTCCTCTCCCGGAGCGGCGACAGATTCAATATGTCCCTTGACCCAAGCCTTGCGGCCCTCCACCTTTGTGGTCTCTGCTCTCAGCACCAGATAGCTGCCCGCAGGAGTAGGCTTGCGATAGTTGATGTTGAGATTGGCAGTCACCCCGATGTTGTGAGGTAGAGCGGCAAAGCAGCACCGTGCAAGGCCCTCGTCGAGCATCGTGGCCAGGAACCCGCCGTGGACAATACCCGGGTGGCCGCACAGGTCTTCTCCGACGTAGACGACGGAGACAAGGGACTTGCCACCCTTGTCAACCCAAGCATACGCAGGGACAGGAACCTTGCCGGGCCCGGTTAATGCGCTACCGGTGAGGCTTCGTGCTCGATATTGACCGGGCATCTTTAGGTGTGGTCGCGACTCGACCATTTCTGGGCGCTGGCGCTGCTCAGCCACCAGGGGGAGGTTATTAATTGTGTCTTCGATTCGTCGCGCCTCGACATCGGCTTCTTCGGGGGTGAATCGCTTCAAGCTCTCTTCATCGGAATAAAAACCCAATCCCTGCGTCTTGAGGGTATGCCATGAGCCATACGCTCCAATGGCACTAAAAGCGAGCCCGAACATGACGTAGAAGAGGCCCTTTCGCAGTGCCAGTCCACCTCCGCCACTCGAATTGCCTGCGCATCGTGGCCATATCAGCCAAAGATTCATGCTTATATTCTTCACTATGCTGAGGGCTTCTTATCTTACCTGACGCGAAGGCAACATTTCCCTTGCCATTATCGGCAAAGCTAATGGCTTGAGCAGCTTGCTCAGTGTTGGCAGAATTCGATGCGGTAGCAGCTCCTTCACTGTTGGTTGCAGTAGCGCCAGAGTGCTGCCACCGCCGAGCCGATCTCCTTGACGCATGCAAAAGCGGCGACGATGCTGGGTTGTACAGTCTGGAAATCGTGCGTGTCTGTTGGGCCAGACGGCGAGCGACGGGTTGGCCGAACATTATGGACTTGCTGTAGGCCCCGCGCACACCTAAGGACCTTCGCAATCAAGATCAAAGGGTCAAGAAAGGACAACGGGACCCAAGATCACAGAGATGGAAATGGTACGTCCTGCGAATGATTATCGATGAGAATAAAGTTAGCTTTCGGCGTCCCCATTCAAGGCGGCGACTTCAACCTTGGTTATCCGAGGTTCGGCGGCTCCGCTTTTCCCATTCAGGAACCAGCAGCTTTTTTCCCAGCGACACGCCAGTGCCACCTCCGTCAATGGTTGAATCTTACAAATCTTCCCCTCGTCCGTCTATACGGCATTCCCTAGGCCTCTGATTCGCCGCCCCGAGCTAGTCAGCGAATGAAATGCCAAGCTGGTATAGTGATGAAGTTTAGATTGGTACCTGGTACCTGTCGTATCGTGAGTCGTGACAGAAGGCCGGATGCACAAAAGGGTCCGTCTATTCGAATAGGTTTTGGCAGCGCTTTCCAGTTGCTTTATACTACTTGAATGGACTGAATATTTACAATGTTCTATTCCAACCGCTTACAATCCGTCTTCCTCTGCAGCCAAAAGCTCGGCGTAGTCATCAACCGATGCAAACATCGGGAGGTCCTTAAGAGCCTTTCTTCTCGACTTTTTCTTGTTCTTCTCCTGAGATTCATCGTCTTCGTCGGCATCTTGCTCATCCTCAACTGCTACCAAGCCGTCGGAGTCAATTTCATTCTCGCCGTCAAAGGTTTCACGCATTTCATCATCTTCATCATCGTCAAGGTCGCTCTCCAGAGACAGGGCAGGAGATGAACCATCTTCAGAATCCATGTCCAAACCATCCATATCATCAAAGCCCTCTTCGTCGGCATCATCCTCAATATCAGGCTGCGTGGATACCAGAGCCTTCCAAATTTCATCCTCGTTCGTCTCTTCCTCCTCCTCTTCATTGGCTTTCTTAGTTGTAGGTTTAGGTTCTCTAGCAACGTGCTGGAAATACTCATGGAAGAAGACATCGTCAGCTGCAATGTCTTCAACCTTCTTCTTCCAGAATGCTGCAGAATTGACTGGCGCAGATGCGGTACCAGGCCCCCTGCTGCCCAGCCAAAAGTCGCCCAAATCCTTGGTTGCGCGGAGAGGCTGCATGATGGATACGCCACGAGCAGAATCAGTCGACTTGGGATTGCGGTACACGAACTTGTCCAAAAATCGGATCAATGTATGGCTCTCCATGTCTGGCTTTTGTACTTTTTTCGTTTTATCCAGCAGGGCCGCGGCAAAAACGCTGACAGAAGGATGGAAATGTGTTTGGAAGGGAATCTAGAGCAGGTCAGTATAACGGCTGACTGGCTGTCATTGTAATTTGTATAACATACCATCTCCCACAAGCAACTCCTCTGCGCATTGCTATGCTTTGGGTCGCGCTTGTGCCCATCATACCCGGGAAGTTCTGCCGATGCCTCGTCGTCGAAAATTGAAGCTTCGGGTTCTTCAACAAGTGTTGATAAATCAGGGAAAGTTTGTCTCAGGTGCGCAATGACATAGAGCAATCCGCATACAAAGGGAGGCTGATGAAGACTTGAAATCTGCAACATCCGTTTTGCAAAAGCCTTGACCCTTCGAACATCAACATCGCTCTTCAAGGCACGGAGAAGCAAGTTCAGATACAATGCTTGCTTGGATGAAGTGACTAGACGAGGATCCAGTAACGACTCGTACAAAGTTCGGTAGAATCGGTCTGTTGCCAAGTTACGAGCGGCGGATAAGTGCTGAATAAGCAACAATGCTTGAATACCAGTATTGAAATTGGCCGAGTGTGCAATCCTGAACAACGTATCTAAATGCTTTTCCATACTAGTCATCAAGTTAGCCTGTATGCATTATGAGAATATAGGGAATAATAGGTCTTGTAAGTATGTACGAACATATCATCGTTGGTACCAATAAATGGGGCCGCACGATTTACTCCTGTCAATAGTGCAGAAACTAACTTGTCTGCTGCTTCAGTTTCCGGCGCCAAGGGATTCACCGTTTTCGATTTTTGAGGCGGTTTGCCCTCTGGCTTATCATTGGATTTGTTGTTGTGTTTGCCCGTCTCTTTGCCGTGCCGCATGCCACCCTCGGTTCCATTTTGTAATGGCACTCCCAAGCTTCCTGATTTTAGCATTGTAACAAAAAGGTCAAAGTATATTCGCAAAAGAGTCTCTGCTACCGTCGGCTCTTTGTTGCTGAGAATTGTCTGGTTCAAAGTGTTGATGGCGCAATACCTCGATCGATGATCCTGGGAGGGATGAAGTAATATATCCTGTTCAATAGTTCGAATAATGATTGGTTTCATTCCAGGATGTGAGACCTGAAGCTGCAGAAGCAGATGGGATGCCCGGGATGATATCTTGCGGTCTCGATCACCAAGTTTGTTGACAAGGAGGGTGAGCAAATTTGACTCCTGTTCCGGTTTTTCTTTGAGGAGTCCATAAACAAAATCCACAGCTTTCATTCGGGAATACTCTATCTCGTCAGAGCACCAGGTTTCCAGCAACTGGATAATCTTGAAATATGTTTCCTTGAGCCAGTCTTCGTACAGCCATGAGATGAGATGCTCCTCAGTAATATTTCCCGGAAGAGGTTGGCTAGGTGTCCATGACTTGATGGAGTCCTTTTGAAGTGTCCCAAGCAACCCAGGCTGGCCATGAAAGGGGCGTAGCCTCCTGTCGGCGGGAAGAAGGGTCCCTGGCCCGAGTAAATCCACAAGTGCGCCGATCGCTCCGATGGCCTGGCCACGGCTTTTCTTCGAGGCGAGGTTCATGAGAGCATCAAAGGCACGGATGTTGTGGACTGGCGACTCTTGCACTGCTAACGTCAAGGCCGAGACCTTATCCGTCAGGGTACCTGAAGACATGATTGTAGACAAGAACTTATGAGACGACGAAGCAAACACGCTAGTCTTGTACTTGTTACAGTCGCTTTCCAGAAGCGTTTTGGCATGTGTTTGGAGAGCTTCAACCGTTCCAGCAAACGGGCCCAGCTGGTCGACAGTCGGCTTGGGCAGCTTCGCAAGTTTGTAGGCGTGCCAATCAGCTCTCGGCTCGAAGATCTAGTGTAATAGTTAACGTTGCTGAAAATGTCCCATTGATACAAACGTCTTCCTACCATGTCTCCTGGTTTTCTAATGCGTTTGACCGCCTCGGTTTCCATGTCATCGGCATCGTCGTCTTCCCCTTCGTGGCCAGAATCTTCTCCCTCCTCTTCATCTTCATCATCGTTGACTTCGTATGGTTGCTCATCGGCTGCGATCGTCACCTCGGGATCAATATCCGCAAATCCCAATTCTTTTGACAGTGCGAGAAGCTCGTCCTTCAAATCCTTATCAACAGCTCCCCCAGACTCTTTCCCGTAAGTCTCGTCGTCAGAGTCGACGCCATTGATGAGCTCTAGATCCTTCTCATCGCCGCCCAAGGCTCTTATTTCTGCCAACAAAGCTGCTTGGTCATCCAGAATCTGGTTCTTCGACGGCCTACTGTCCTCGAAATTTCGCCGCCTCTTCTGTTGCTCTTTACCTCCGGCATTGGTGGGGGGGTGCTTGCGCTTGTTGGTGTTGGAGTTGAGGTTTTGACCGATTCTAGATGTAAGCTGCTCAAGAGCGCTCTCATCGAAGCTCTGCCTATCTTTCTGACCGCGAGGGCCCTTGCCCTTCTTTTGTGGTTTAGGCATTGAGCGGGCGTTCGTTCTGTCAATCTTGTTGTTGGGTCCAGAGGGAGAATGAGGACTGCCATTCCGAACTTTTTTTGATGGGCATATCTTATCAAAACGCCCCACTTAAAACATTTGTGGGCGTTATGGAACAAGGCAGACAGGTCGCTTTTGAGGCCATGCGGCTAGCCAGCCAGCTAGCTACAATATGGATGAGGGAAAAGAAAATCATAAGTAGTACTGCTATATTTTCAAATACGAAAAAGTAAATCTGCTGTATGGAAGTTTGGTTCATGAGGAATATGCTGGCTGTGTTGGCTGTGTTCGCACAGGGCCGTCGAGAGCTGAGTTAGACCAGCCGCGAGCAACTACCCACCTTAAAACCCCAACTCATCCTATCCTCAACCGCAGTGTCGCGGCTGGTGAGTCTGGTCTCTGATAAATCTTCCGTCGCCGCAGTCAGTCTGAAATGCCGCTATTGGCAATGGAATATCTCGGCACGAAATATTACCATGCTATCTTATAAATCAGAAAGGCTGGGACGATTAATTGTAGCCTCGTCCACATTTGTGTCCCGGCCGAGCACAAGCGTGTATCGCGGCACGCCCAAGGGTTGCCGTGCAAGGTCGACTCTTTCGAAGATATGGGTTCCCACGGGCGGTGTCTCAGCTATAGAAGGAGAGAGTAAGACTGTCCTGCAGTCTCAGTTGGTCACCGAAGTTACTGACAATTAGAGCAGCTGGGCATGGAAAACTCATCCGAGCAGGCTTTCTTCGCCAGGTGGGTTCCGTTTCTGGAGCGCCGTAGGAGCCGATGTTGACCTCGTTGTTAGACTCAATCTGGTATTTTTCAGCTTCTTCCACTAGGGCTACGCGTGCAGAATAAAATTGAGAGACTTCTTGACAAACATATGGAGTCAATTGGTTCGTCCCTCCTTGGACCATGCTATCCATCGTTACGAGACTAACCCGGTTGCTGCAGGCGCATCACGGCTATCTCTGTCGACAATTACCTCGGAAGAACTATGGCGCCGCAGCGGTAGATTAGATCATGTCTCTTCAGAAGTAGGTGGCCGAGTTACATGTTCTGCGCATCTGTTAACAGGCTCAGCTTTTCCGCTTGACTGATCGAAAGCAAGTCCCCATAATACTGTCACCCACGCATGAGGAGGAGATCACAACACTGGTGGCTGGCGCATTGAAATCGTTTAAAGACTTGCCTTTGCGTCTATATCAGACTAGTCAGTCCTTTCAATATGACTCCCGAAAGATTCAAGGCTAACCATCGGAACAGCTAGAAAGTACCGAGACGAGATGCGTCCCCGCCACGGACTGCTGCGTTCTCGGGAGTTTATTATGAAAGATCTGTACACATTTGATACATCATTTGAATCAGCCATTGAAACATACAAATGTGTCTCTAAAGCATATCGTGCCTTTTTTGCGGATATGAAAATCCCCATTCTGGTTGCTGAGGCAAGTTCAGGAGACATGGGGGGCGATTATAGCCACGAGTATCATCTGGCACATCCTATTGGAGAAGACAGAGTCATTTCATGTGATTCTTGTGAATATACTGCTAATGATGAAGTTGCAACGGCACGATTATCCGATCATTCTCGTCAGACTTCTCCGCCGCTGGCCATCACACAGGCAGACATTGGCGTATGGCGTGGTGTCACCAAAGATCGCACGACACTGATCAATGCCTGGTATCCCATCAAGAGTAGCCATGGCACTGGCACAGAAATAAATACACATGCTGTGAAAGAACTCATCGCAGAGTTAGATACAAGTGTCAACGATCCCGTTCACTCTTGGAAGGACACCGCGGCTGCCAGAAAGGAGGGGAAGAACACGCGCCCTCGAATTATCAACGTTATTGACTTTAGATTGGAAACTGTTTATAGTCAGTTGAAGGAAAGACTGCCCTTGATTCCGGGCTCTGCCCAAAGCGCCGAGCCATTATCTCAGTCAGACATCAATGCCTCACAACATGGAGAGCCACTGAATCTGGTACGGCTGATGGACGGGGATAGCTGTCCCCGATGTGAAGCTGGTTCACTTCGAATTCACCGGGCATTGGAGCTAGGCCACACGTTTTACCTCGGTTCCCGCTACTCAAAACCCTTCGAGCTATCCGTTACTCTTCCAAACTCCAAGGCTCCTGTCCCAGTGGAAATGGGATGCTACGGGATTGGTGTATCGCGAATCTTTGGTGCAGTGGCTGAACACAAAGCGGACGAGCGAGGCCTCAATTGGCCCAGAGCGATTGCCCCATTCGAGATTGTGGTCATACCAACATCTGGGGTAAACTCTCAAACCCTGGAGTTCCATGACAAGCTCACCAGTTGGTCGAGTACTGGGCCAGGGTTCGATGCAGTCTTGGACGACCGTAAGGAGACATTCGGCTGGAAAATGCAGGATGCCGACATGACTGGTTACCCTGTTACTATTGTTCTCGGAAAGGCATGGAGAGAAAGGGGAGTATGCGAAGTACAATGCAGGAGCTTGTCCTCGAAGGAGAATATTACTGTTGCGGATCTGCCAGCACATTTGAATGGTTTACTCTCGCAATTGTAAAACGGTGGACTTGGTATGAAGCGAGCAACTTTAATTTAAACTGTACTATTAAATATATGTATAACTCTCATAGAAACTACAAAACTTGTTGTGTAAATACTCACTCAATTTTTATCCGAAAGAATACACGAGACAGCGGCTTAGTAGGAGGCTGCATCATAATGTAGCGTGAACTGTCAAGGTCGTTGGACAAACCTCTCAAGTAGGTAGACACTGTGCTAGCTAAAGCTGACCCCACCACAGCAACTATCACATACCGAGGGGCAACCCCAACCGCAAATTGTGACAACCTCGCCTCCACGACGTCGCTTGAACAACGTATCAGCGCGGCAAACATGGCTGGGGAACGGGAAACCAGTATGTCTCTAGTTTACATCACCCACCTCCGAGTACAAGCCTAACCGAGTTCACAGTCAACCTCGACACCCTCGAGCCACAGCAGCTGGCGCAGGTCAAGAAGCAGCTCGACGAAGAACTCGAGCACCTGACCTCGTCCTACGCACAGCTCCACGGGGCCCAAAACAAATTCAAGGATTGTCTACGATGTGTTAATACTCGATCTGCTGCGACCGACGGTGGGATTTGCCAAGCCCATTGAGCTAGAGTGACTCTGGACGCAGTGGAAGGCTAACGATGTGGAAAAATTGCGACAGCTTCAAACTCGGTTCTTGTTCCTTTAACCAACTCATTATATGTCAAGGGAGAATTGTCCAATACAGAGTCTGTCTTGGTTGACGTGGGAACTGGTTTCCTCATCGAGAAGGTTGGTACAGGCGGCACTTTCGGAAGGACTGGAGCTAATCTACTCGATCTAGAAGTTAAAGGCGGCGGAGCAATTCTACGACGACAAAGTGCAAGAGCTGGGCCACAATTTGAAAGATCTGGAAGCAATTGTGCAGCGCAAACAGAACAATGTTAGAGCAGTAGAGGAAGGTATGTTAATTTTTTCTCTGCTGAAGAGGTGCATTCATATTGACACGTCTTTGAAATAGTTTTGCGGCAAAAGATCATGGCTGCCCAGGGAGCTAACTCATGAAGTGCCCGAATGGGATGGCGCGGGCGATATATTAACAAAAGTATTGCATTGGCGATTACTAAAATAGTGAGCAACGAATCAAAATTGTGGTCGCACAATGTTTGGTGAAGTTGGCCTCCTTCATGGTCTCTGCCTTCTCCTTGAGCTACGTTGCCGTACCATCAACGTTTGCCACTTCCAAGGCAGACAATATCTCTAAAACATGACAAACAAAACCTGCGAATTGGTCCTCTGCGGTCTCTCCTGAGCCTGCCCAGATATGAGACTGGTGAGGTCCCCAGTCCTTCTTCGATTCATGCATACTTTTGTAGTTGAGGCTGTCCTCCCAGTGACGACCAAGTATTTGGATTCCAGTCCATGAATGAAGAGCTTCTTTTGTATTCACGTCTCTCCATGCGAAATTCCTGCTTATTTCTACCACGAATGGCGTATCGCGAAAGGGTATCAGAGCTGACGACTTTGTACGTATCTCGCTCAACTTGCCAATCCACTTGTCAGGATTCTTGACATTGATATTGACACACCTGTGCTCGAGGTCTGCGGGATTCTTTGGTGGTCCTTCAGTGCAGACCACAATGTCCTTAAGCAAACATTCGATAAGCTCAGGTATGGGCTGAACTAGCAAGTCGCTGTCTACTTGGAGAGCCCAGTCGTATTTCCTATTCACGACTTGTCAGCCTGTGTGCCAATGATGCTCAAAACAAGTCACATCACTCAGGTTACCTGTCCGGAGCTACTATGATCCACCTAAGAGGTGGCCACTCTTCTGATACAACTAAACGAGAATTTGTCAAGTTCGGCTGTCGACCTTGCGTATATCCGACGTCTCCTGTGAAGATTTGATCTCCTATTCTTATATGGATGCTGTCTTTGTAAGTAATATTTTCGACTTCACGGGAGACATTCGTTTGTGGGTCCAGCAGGTGTGCGACCAGCTTTGATACATAGCCAACTTCTGCCACCCTAGCTTCATGTTAGCAAATGGTATCAGCCCAGAGGCATTTTCAGAGAGACAATCACCTCGTATTTAGCTCAGCTCCGCCCTTGGCTCCATACTGCAGAGCCATCTCTGTGAAATCGGAGTATGACATGGCGTTCCCTATGCCTCTCTTCCGGCGTCGAATGATAACGTGGCCAAAGTCTACATGCATACGAAGCGAGCGTTTAATGGCCTGGAGCGTAGTCGTAGAAGACAAAAAACTTGTACCGAGCTGCCTTAGGACATCGGTAGCCACCTCTGCGGTCCCAATCATTGTCTTTTGGCGTTGTCCTATTCGGGGACGAGAATCCAAATCTACGGTAATTAAAGTGTCTGTACCAGCATCCATAGGTTTCTGGACCAAGAATAGAGTTGCCACGTTCTGTTGTGCCAGACGCATATCATGAAGAGCCCAATTGACTGCCTTGAATCCCTCTTGCAGGCTCCACATTGTACGGCTATAAATATGAAGGACGTTTCGTTTGTCGTGTTTGATCCAGACGCCTTTCTCTGTCTTTATAGTATCGAATGAAGAGGACTCAGATAATTCTCGAAGAAGCATATGCCTTTCAGGAAGAACCAGGACGGCCTAGAGTAATGTTAGTGCTGAATGACCATATTTACGACTCATTGCACATACCTCTAAGAGATTCTCGCCGGCCGGAGGTTCACGTAGATACTGCGCCTCGGTGGTGACGTCTGTTTTTTTTCGTTCATCGTCTATTTGGAATCTGGCACTTGAAATTTTCGGCTGCTCTGCAAACTTTCCCCCCTTTCCTTTCGCTGTAGAGGGGCCGTTCAGAGAATCAACACCTCGATATTTGCGAGGGCATGTTTGCGAAGACTTCATGGCCAAAGAGAATGCAGCACTTGTTTCTTCCAGTCTTGCGTAGAATCTGTTTTTACGTGCGTGCGTCCCTGAAAAAGGTTGTGAAACTTGAAAAAAGAAAGTCTCGACAGAGGGGGATTGACGAGCCAATTTTATATGGTAAACGGCAGGTGCCCGGAAGGTTCCCGGCAGTTGGCAGCCGGCTCGCGATTTAGACGTGGATTAACTGAGCATAACGTAATGAAGGTGCAGATGAAGGTGCAGCAACAGGTTGGTATTTGAGCAAATATCCAAGTCGCCGTGAGTAGTTATACTTGGACTAACCCAGCGCCCATTTGGACTGGAGTTATTGCCATCTTTATAAGACCATGACTACCTAGTAGGTACATTTGGCAATATACAAGCACGCCGTTTAGCAAGATATTGCTGTAGTGCCAAAATCTTCAAAAATAAAAGGCTGTAATCAATTACCATCTTCTTCCTTCTCAACCATCTCAATAAATAGGGCGAAGGAGGAATAACACGTGGAAACATAAAAAACAGATGTTGCATCACACCCAGACCAGCGCCAATGTCACATGAGAATGGCCAGCTCTGGTTGGGAAGGGTGGGGCACTAAGCTCCATTGAAGTTAGGCAGGGGCAGCAGCTGCATCGCGGTTTCTAACGCGTTGATGGGCAAGAAAAATGATTGATCCCTTCCCACCACCAGGTACAGCAGATCTATGGCGCCGCATAATCTCACCAGAAGGGGGCCCGAGCCCGCTGTTCGGAGAAGGAAGACTTTGCCCGGAATCAGCCGTGAAGATTCAGACGACGAGCTGGGCAGCGATGATTTGCCCTGGGAATGGATCTATAATGTCGAGGACCCGGAGCGAGCGAACCATGATGCGCAAAACGATCGAAAAAGGCGGAAAGTTATGGGAACCAAAATTGTTGGAGCTCGAATGGGCACCTTTGAATGTCGGATAGGTGACACGGTCTTGCTGAAAGCTGATGGCTCTAATGAAGCTTGGGTAGGAATCATTTGCGAGTTTGTAGAGGACGACGGGGAAGGCGACAATGCAGCAAATTTCATGTGGTTTTCAACAGAGAAAGAAATCCGTAATAAGGATAAAAAGCGGAATGATTTCTATTGGGTGTGCTTGCTTCCTATCCGTTCAAGGCTATCGCAAGAAGAATATACTAACCGGCCCGCTAAGAACGAGCTTTACATATCCCCGTCATGGGATATCAATCCCTTAGCGTCAATAAATGGCAAGGCCAAGGTGATGTCACTAGAGGCCTTTTTATCAAAGTACCCGTCTGGAAAAATACCCCGTCAGTCGAAAGACTATGGCAAGACATTTGTTTGCCGCCGGGGCTGCAATACCAGAACGGCAACCTACACGGAGGAATTCGTTTGGGAAGAGATGTATTCAAGTGTCGATGACATGTTCAAATTGATAGATTTTGTCGAAAAGAACACAAAGGCAGCTCGGGGTCGAAGGAAAGCCCGGGAGCAATCGCCACAAGACACTGCATATTTACCTCCGCAAACTCCTACTAAAGGTTCCCGGACTACTATCACAACACCGCAGTCCAAGCGTAGTCATGCAGAGCCAGGCTCTCGCTCCCAAAAGAGGTGCATAAAAATTTCTTCCTTTCCCCTGATTTAATTGACACTAATTCAGAGCACCAGGGGGACCGGAAAGAAACTCGAGTTCACACCACTTGCAATGAGAAAGCTCTCTCCCAGCGCAGTTCAATCCTCACCGTTCCAGATAGCACGCTCTCGCCTTCACGTATCCTCCGTCCCGACAAGCTTGCCTTGTCGAGAAGGGGAATTCTCTCTTGTCTACTCGCACCTTGAAGCAGCAATTACAGACGGTAGCGGAAACTGCATTTACATCTCGGGCACCCCCGGCACAGGCAAGACGGCTACGGTTCGTGAAGTCATATCTCGTCTGGAGGATGCAGTTGGGTCAGACGAGTTGGATGATTTCATATTCGTGGAGATCAATGGCATGAAGATTACAGACCCTCATCAGTCGTATACCCTGCTCTGGGAAGCACTACGGGGACAGCGAGCAAGCCCATCGCAGGCTCTCGATCTACTGGAGAGAGAATTCAACAATCCTAGTCCCCGACGTGTCCCATGTGTAGTGTTGATGGATG